TGAGTTTATATTTGTTTCTTATGTGGGCTGACATAATTTAAGCAATGCTCTTTATAGTACATGCTCTTTTTTCCATGGAAACGAGAGTAACTACGTGCTCAGAAATGAACAAATATTTGTCAGATGAGTGAGACGAAGGGTTTGACTGTAATCCTTTCACTTCAGGGCAAGGAAGATCAACACTCTTGACAAGTAATAACTTCCCTTTCCCCCAGTACTGTCAATGTTAAACCTTTATGGTAGTGTTGAACCTTTGTGAACACAATCTTTTAGGAGTAAAGAGATAATCAACTCTTATTTGCCATCGAGAGAAGTAATTTAGAAAACTGTCAAAAAGCTAGTGGATTACTATTTTATCACCAACATGTGTGCTTCTCATTGTACCTTAGATTTTGATTTGTCCTGTTTTTGAGCCCTAAGAGTTAACTTGTACCTTAGATTTTGATTTGTCCTGTTTTTGAGCCCTAAGAGTTAACTTGTTTTGTGAATGAGAAATAATGATTGCATTTCCATCTTACAAAGGGAAAATCAAGTCATGAAAACATGTATTAGCCACTGTAATATCGCCTTGGAAATGGGAAAGGAATCTGAGTTTCACAGAGAACATATTTGTGAAGTTGTCAGTAATTAAGTCAATTTCAAAGGATTATCGTAGTAGCGCTAAAATAAGAAATTACATCTTCTTCCTTAGGGAACATTAATTTGTTATATGGATACTGGGTGATTTTACTCCCCTTTGTAATTTACATCATATTTTTATTTCCTGTTTCTTTAATGCTTACTATAGATTGAAAGTTATTCTTTTTATAGCAAATGAATAATCTTAAAAAAATCTAAACTGTAAATCAGGAAATTCACGCTTTTTATAACTTTCTATTTTTTCCCTTTTAGTCATTGGTGTTTGTTTTTGTATTTGAAATCCTGTTTTACGAGCCAACGTTTGGCCACACAATCTGTGCAGCTGTAACGGTTCCACAATATTCCTCAGCGGTGAGCACAGGGGTGAAGGGACCTGCTTACCAAACCACCATCCCGAGGTCTGAACCCTCACTGCGACCCTCTTGGCTTTGGAACAAACCGAACCTATTATTCTTCAGAACTCTCTTCTGAAAAATGGGATGAATCTATATACTTTCACAGGTTTGTTCTGGGAGCTAAAGCCCATAAGAGATTCTAATTCTAGCACAGGTTCCTGCCCGGCGTCACTCAATGGAAGACAGTTCTGTGTGAGGAAATGCCCCCTGAACTGCCATCTGTGCTAATCAATGAGGGCTTTGTGACACGATCATATCACAAGCTCCCGTTTACACTGATTTTTTTCCATCCATTCCTCTTTAAAAAATATTTTTTAAGTTTAAATACTCATTCTTTGAGACTCACCTCAATTTTTACCACCTCAAGTTCCTAATTCCAAGTAGCTGAGATGATAACATGTTTAATGCTCTTAAGTCACTTACACACTGAATGACATTGCTTCTGATTTTTCTATGGTCTTCAGACTATTAGCAACCTGGTAACGGCCCGGGCTGTGCTGGTCTCTCTTTCAGTGTCTAGAGCTCCACATGCCGCTTGATGTATTGCTGGTGCTCAGAGATGTCTGTTGAATAAAATGGTCCACTCCATAGATTTTCTGGACCAGGAGGCCTTCATATTCTGATGCATGCCAGGGATGTCCCTGCTTTGGGCCTATAACATCACCAGGGGCCTTTCTAGTTCATCTCCAGAGTCAGACTTACAAGATAACTATAAACCTCACTTGGCACCAGAATCACTTAGAAAGATACAGGATTGGAGTCACAGCGTGCCAGCCAGGCAGCACCAGGCGCCCCCTTTGTGGGGATCTTCACGACTGTGTGTGGTGGTCCACTCTGCCTCCTGGGGCTAGGCTGTCCCTGAGCCTCTCCTCCCCGGATCACCTCAGGTGCCAGGAAAAGGGACCCACTGCAAGCAGTGTCTGGATTGGGCCTGGCCTAAAAACCTGAGGTTCCAAAGAAGCCCACATCTCTTGTAACTCAACAGATACCTCTTCCATGTGTCAAAGGACATGTCTAGTTACAAGTGTTGCCATAATCGCAGAAATCCTGGGTATGGCTTCCTATCAGCACTGATCATTTCCCCAGCCCAGATGCAGTTGACCAAAGTTGACCAATCAGCAGCCATTTACATCATAAGCAATGTTGCCCAGTACCTCTGTAACATTCTACCTTTAACAGGTCTCCAGAGAAACAGAACGTTGAGAAAGTTAAATGTCAAATTCTCCTATGGAAGGATCCTCTGAACCCTTTGTCTATGTGTCCCTTGCTCTTGCTGTTCTCTCTGCCTAGAAGACTCCTCCCCAGACATCTACACGGCCAGCTCCTACACCTCCTTCGATTCCTTGGTCAAAGTCACCTTCCCAATGAGGCCTTCTCCGGCCACCCTACTTGGGAACTGCAACTCCTGACCTCAGCTGCTGGGACCTCCTACCATCCGTGTATGTTCTATTTTCTTTTCCACTGCCCTTATTACCTTCTAACATATATAATTTACTAATTGATTTGCCTTATTCTGCTTGTTTTTTTCCATAGAATTTAAGTTCCATAAACTTGGGGCATTTGTCTTTTATTTTCTTCCTCATGCAGAAGTAATTCTTGGCTCCTAGAATGGTGCCTGGCACAAAGTAGGTTCTTTAACGACTAAATGTTTTGTTTATGAATGAATTTATGCCCTTTCTCTCTGTCAAACTGTAGTTTTTCACTGCATCCTTTTTTGAGAAGTGGGGAAGGGAAACATTTTTTTCAGCCAACAAATAAAAGGCAGCCCGATGTTAGGGATTACGAACAGGGAGATGTGCCTGAACTGCCGGCTTTGAATAAGGGCTTTGCCCCCACCTTGGGAAGGTGCCCTCAATTCTCTGTTCCTTAGCTGTATCATCTGTAAATGGGGATGATAACAGTCTATCCACCTTAGCGTTGTCATGAGGATGAAATTATTCACAATATATGTAACATGCTCAGAATAATGCACTATGTGTTAACCAGTATTAAAATCAACTTTAAAAAGGCCTTTATTGTTACCCTGCAGCACTTCTAACTACATTTCTCTTCCAAACTCCTCCTCCTCGAGGTCTCTTTACCTGAAAGTTCCATCCACCCCGCAGCCCTTCTTTTTCCAATTACAGTTTATATTCGACATTATTCTGCATTAATGTCAGGTGTACAACATAGTGGTTAGACAATCATATACCTCACCAAGTGTTTCTCCTGATATTTCAAGTGCCCACCTGGCATCATACATACCGAATAGTATTGTTATTACACTATTATCAACTATATTCTCTATGCTGTATTTTACATCCCTATGACTATTCTGTAACTACCACTTTGTACTTCTGGGTGAAATGGTGAGGAAAGAAGTACCCTACTGCCTTTAACTTCCATTCACTTTTCCAACTACTGACTAAGATTTCTAATGACCTAGTTGCTGCTTTTCTCTCCTTAGCCCGCGACTTACTTGTACTGCCTGCCATCATTAGCAACAGCTAGCTGCCTTTGACTTCTGAGTCCCTCCTTTCTGGTCTCCACCCATTCTTACAGCTGCCCCTTCTTAGGCATCTTCAGAGGCACACCCACTTTTCCTTCATTCCACCGAGTTTCCCAAGGACGCCAAGTGCTTCCTCACATCCATGACTTAGAACTTTCTTTCCTGTTCCTGGCACTTTCTCCCACCTTCATCTCCCTCTCCCGAACTTCAGCTAGTTTTCCAAATTTTAATACAAGCCCTCCCCTTTTCTTTTGTCTCCCAGCCAAGCACCCCTCCTCTGCACTCCCTTATTGCTTATGGGTGCATCTATCAGAGTACAACACAGACTTTTCTCATTGCTGGTTTATTTAGTTTTACCCCAGAAATAAACTGCTTATAGGTATATGTTGGGCTGGCCAAAAAGTTCATATGGTTTTCTTCTGTAAAATAGAAGACACATTTTTCATTTTCACCAGTAACTTTATTGATTTGGATATTTTGAGTATGTTGGCTATCTCCCACTATTGGCTTCTAGTGGGTAGAGGCCAGGGGTGCTGGTAAACTTCTTCCAGTGCATAACACAACCCCACAGCGAAGAATTATTTGGCAAAAATGTCAATAGTACTAAGGAACTTTGCAAACCACTCTGACATGTTTGATCAGTCACAGCACCTTCCCCACACACACTGCACAAATCTTATTTTGCATTTCAGTTGCATTTTTACCTTTCTCGAAATAATAAAGTATTAACGCACCAGAAATGTTGTGTATTTTCTTCCATCTTTGATATTAAAATGGCTCCACAGAAATCCATTAATTTCAGTAAGTTTTTTTTAACTACACTCTGACTTGACTGCTGTCACAATACAATCTAACAAAATTGTTTCGAATGACGTTAAAGAGTAAGTGCTAGTAGAGCGATCATACGGAAAAACATAATGGACTTTCTGGCCAACCCAATATGTCCTCAAAGTACAGTGCCTGACATGTAGTAGGTATGTAAAAATAATATGGGTTCAATATATGAATACACGGCATCAATGTAGAATACATTTTGATTGGGCTGCATTTAAAATGAGAACTAAACAATGGGTAAAATTAATAATGATAGCTCATCAAAATGTCCTTCCAGAAAATCTTATCAGCGGTAAAGAAAAGAAAAAAGCTCTGTTTTGGCAATATAAATGGAGCTGTGGATGTACATGCTATATTTTACTATAAAGCCAACTTTGAAAAATAAGGGGCTTCTTTCAGTGTTACTGATGTCAAGGATTATCTGACTCTAGTCAACTGCTGTTTGAGCTCAGTGAAACCTTACAAGCACCAAATTCACCTTATTAGGGAAGTTCAGTAAATCATTATTTCAGGCTTCCTGCCATGATTTTAAACAACATCCGCAAGATTTTAGTTGGTTAAAAAGCACACAGCCAGCTGTTTTAAGAGGTTACAATGGCTGCGTTGTTCTCGCCCCCATCTGACACGTGTCTACCGGCACCTACCTGTAAAGTACATCCAAACACACCGATCATCAGCATGGCCACTGAAAGGTAATCGGTGAACACATCCCACCATGGTTTCAGCACCCGGAAGGCAGGCTGCTGCTCAGAGAACTGCCGGAATTCTGTCACTGGAATCATGTTTCTGAGAAAGGAGAGATTACTAGTGAATTTACCGATCTTCAGGCACCACACACTCCATGGTTAACAATGTTTGAAATGCTGCTCCAACCCTCCAGAAGACTGGGCTCGGTCAGGCTGGGTGCTAGCATGGCACCTTGGGGTTTTCAGAAGCCATCACCTCCAATAGTGACCCTCACGTGAAAAGATAAGTACCTTTGCTACTGTCCATTAAGCTGGTTCCCTTAGACTGCACGTGGACCAGAGAGACCATGGCCAGAGCAGTCTCTGAGTCCATTATTTCCCGGATTCCCTCTTTCCTTAGAGTAGGAGGATGCCAGAAAAAGCAGAATCCAGCCTATTTTTGCTATTTTATCTTGGACTGCTGCTTTAAACTACTTTTTAAGTGTAATCTCAGAATTGGTCTGTGTTAATTATCTACTGATATGTGTAAAGTATTTTGCCTGATCCTTGGAGAAGGCCAACACTTTGCCATAAGGTCCTGGTCTTATAAGAGGCAAGATCTCATTGATGGTTAGCGGGGACGGGTTGGAGAGATCTTCCTTTTGTCTTGCATCTCCCTTCTTTGGTCCCTGTTCCTTTGAGTTGATATCTTTTCTCCATTTCCTGCATTTCTCATACTTTGCTGTGAGCCTCAAACTTATCCTTTATCTCTTCTGAGAAAGCACTTGGTCCTGAAAACACCCATCTTTACCTAAATGACAGAAGATAAATGAATAGGGTGTGTGCACCATAGGCTCTGGGAAAAGGGGAAATGACTGCATCCTTTTCTTGGTCTGTATTCTTCTTTCTCACTGCTCAGTACCACTCCCTTTATTGTGATCCAGGACATGAACTTGGCTCATCCTGCTACTGTGAGAAGCAATAGTCTTCCTTATATTATGGCAATGAGTAAGAGTGGCCAAAGAGGACTACAAAAACTTCTCTCCCGTTTGCCATCTTTGGATGGAGTAATCCAGCTCACTTCGTTTATCGTTATTGAGTCTAATTTAAGAGCAGGGGAAAGGATACATTGAGTAGTTATTCTCCCAAGCCTTGTTTATTTCCTGGATCTTTTCTCCCTAACACTGAATTAAAGGCTGCACAATAAATAGCCCAAAGAAAAGCCACGACTCATCTGAATTTCCTGGTGGTTATCTTTGGGAACCATTATAATGTCTCCATTCTGTCTTGCTGCTTTATGGGTCATTTTCTTAAGAAGTAAGGACCAATCTACTTGGCATCTATGCATTTGCTATGATTTTCTGTTTTTTACCAAAACACAACTTTCTTAACTCCATTCTGTTACTACCACTAGGCTGCAAACTTCTTGAAGGCAGAACCTATGCTATGTGCATGTATTCTCAAAACATGTTAAAAGCAACACAAGCTGAGTAAATGTGTATACTTAGTGTCATTAAAATTTCATTCTAGTTCAAAGCTTGATTTTCTCTGAAACCTCATGACCCCTTTTCTTCTCAATGCATCATTACATCTCACTGTCCCAATTTTTTTCTGGTAACAGTTGTTCTAGCAGCAGTCACAGACAGGCACTAACTCATCTTAATTTCCAAGTTTACTTCAGAAACTATTGTCTTATTCTATTTCACATCCTCGTCACTCACTACAATGTCAGGCAAACAAGAGGCCTTAAACAACTGTCTGCTGAATAATTAAACGAGTAAATTCAGATGCTTGTTCATGGAACAATGCTTGTCCAAATTAGACTTGGAGTGACACCACTCAGGTGCAGTGCCAAGTTCAGTACCTACGCTCTAGTCTACTTTTTTCAACAGACCTGGTTGTTGTGTCCTTCATGATAAATGCCTGTCCTTGGAAGGGCCCGGCTTGTTCTTTGAAGTGAGGAAGAATTTTAGGAATAAAATGGACCAATGTAGAGAAGTGGTCTTCGAACTTTTTGATCTCAAAATTCTTTACACTCTAAAATAGAGGTCCTCAAAGAGCATTTTTTAATGTGGGCTATATTGATCAATATTTACCTTATGAGAAATTAAAACCAAGAAACAAAATATATATGTAGCTCATTTAAAAATAATAAACCCATTTCATAACCTATATTATATTATAAAAATAACTATATTCTATAAAACAAAAAAAGAGAATGGCATTGTTTTACATTATTGCAAGTCTCTTTAACATCCATCTTCATAGAAGGTAACTGGGTCCTCATATCTGTGTCTGCATTCAGTCTGTGGTATGTTGTCTTGATTAAAATTTATGAATCAGATATGTGTTTAGAAAAGAGAAGTATCTTCACGGCCTTTTCCTCTAACTGTGGACATGAGTTTTTGATAGTATATTCAACTGGCTTGTTAGCTGCAATATAGAATCTCTAAACTATCAACTTCTCAAACTCCTGATATTAAAACCAATTTGTCGGGGGGGGGGCAGAAAACTGTACTTGAACAATTAATAAATAAATAAGTAAATTTTAAAAAAACCTCACTTGTCTATCTTGCACCTCGAGTGACCTTCCCCCACATATGATTTTGTACCATCATGTACTGGGCATCTGGGAAAATATCAGATCACTGAGTTATGCAGCTCTTCCAAAGGTTGACAAAACATATTAAAAATCACATTCATTACTATCACTACTGCTTTCATCAGAAGAGCTTTTAAGTAATGAGAAGCTGTCAGACTCATGGTGGTGAATACATGATTTCCCAAATTCCAATCATCACTTGAAAGTTTGGATTTCATTTCTGGCAGCAAATATTATTGGTTGGGCTCCTTAAAGTGTTACTTCATTCATTTTGAAAAACATCTTCCACACACTGAAGCCTAAATAATCAGTTGTTTTATTTAAGTAAGACTGGGGTAATATGTAGAAGAGCTAATTCAACTCCCATCTCACATAAGGATTTTCTCTTGAGACACCCATTATACTTTAAAAGGTAGAAGTACTTTACATGTTTTCCCCCTTCAATTCAGTGTATTAATACAATATGGATCTAAGAGTTGAGAGTTATTAAAATATTAATTTTACTAATTCAATGAAGACCTTAAATGAAGCTGGCAATTTTTTAAAGTAGTATGTGCTGATGACCAATATAATCTCTACAGTATTGTAGAGAGTCTGGTGCCTCTATTTTGATTCCTCCTAAAGCACCTTACCCACCATTACCTTGTACCATCAGTGAAAAAGGCAAAAAACATCTTAGCATTAAAAATTAATTTTCACTTCCAGTTAAGATGGCAGCACAGACAGGCATGGCTTGCCTCTTTGCACAACCACAGCAAAATTACAACTAAGATATAGAACAACCACTGCTCAGAACTGACAGAAGTCGAGTTGAATGGAACTACAACAGCTACAGAATTAAAGAAACCCCATCCATTCAGACTGGTAGGGAAGGAGGGGTGAAGACACAGAATGGGCCGGTCCCACATCCATGTGTGGTAGGTAAATATTTGAAAGGAATATCCCAGGAGTGAAAAGTCCCAGCACCACATCAAGGTCCCCAGCTCGGGGTTCCAGTACCAGGCAGATAAATCCCTACAACTTCTGGAAGCAAAAACCAGTGGGGATTGAGTCAGTGGAAGAAGCATGTAGGACTTCTGGCCAAGATGGAGGTGTAGATGACATACTGTGCTTCCTCCCACAACCAGAATAGGGACAGCAACAGTTTAGAAACAAAAAACAACCAGTGCTGACAGGAAATTGAACTGTATGGAAGTCCAACAACCAAGGAGTTAAAGTAAACAGATTTATCCAGACTGGTAGGAGGGGCGGAGTAGGATGCCTGGAAGGACAGAGGTAGTGGCAAAAATAGCAGTGGCTGGCGGACCCCTGGTGTGCAAGGCAGCAGCTGGTGGACCCAGCGAAGCGGCGGATTGTGGAGGGGTGCGGTGCACAAGGCAGCTGGTGGACTAGGTGGTCCCACGATTGTGCGCAGATAAACCAGGCAAAACTGGGGAGCGAGACAGACCGCATAACCCAGGGTCCCAGCACCAAGAAATAAGCCTCAAAACACCAATTGAAAACACCTGTGGGGGTTGACGTGCAGGGAGAGACTCCCAGCCTCACAGAAAAGTTCGCTGGCGAGAACCACAAGGTCCTAGAATGCACACAAGCCCACCCACCTGGGAATCAGCACCAGAAGGGCCCAATTTGTTTGGAGGAAGTGGGGGAAGTGACAGAAATGGAGCAGAGAGCGGAGCAAGTGCCGTTGTTCCCTCTCAGACCTTGCCCCCACATGAGGATCATGACCCAGCCATTGGGTTGCCTTGCCCTGGTGAACACCTAAGGCTCTGCCCCTCACTATGTAACAGGCATGACCAGGCCCACCCCCCCAAAAAATGCCTCAAATGAAAGAACAGCCTAAAGCTCCAGAAATAATACAACTAAGTGACGAAGAGACAGCCAACCTATTAGATGCACAGTTCAAGGCATTGGTGATCAAGATGCTCACAGAATTGGTTGAATTTGGTCACAAATTAGATGAAAAAATAAAGGCTATGCTAAGTGTAATAAAGGAAAATGTACAGGTGATGGGAAGGAAACTGGGACTCAAATCAATGGAGTGGACCAGAAGGAAGAAAGAAACATCCAATCAGAAAAGAAAGAAGAAAGAAGAATTAAAAAAAAAAAAAAAAAAAAGAGAGGCTTAGGAACTTCCAGGACATCTTCAAACGTTCCAACATCTTGGAATTATAGGGGTACCAGAAGGAGAAGAGGGAGAGCAACAAGTGGAAAGGATATTTGAACAAATAATAAAGGAGACCTTCCCCAATCTGGCAAAGAAAACAGACTTCCAGTAAGTCCAGGAAGCTCAGAGAGTCCCAAAGAAGTTATATCCAAGTAGGAACACACCAAAACACATCATAATTAAGTTACCCAAGATTAAAATTAAGGAGAGAATACTAGAAGTAGCATGAGACAAGCATTAAAAATTAGCATTACTTATAGTTACCTACAAAGGTAGGAAGTTACCTACAAAGGAGTTCCCATAAGACTCAGCTGATTTCTCAAAAAAAAAAAAAAAAAAAAAAAAACCTTAC